GTGTGTGCATTCCTATACGTTAGCACTCTGTCTGCTTGTGTCCGGCTCTGTCTCTAATCTTCACGTCCTGTCTGCTGCTGTAGTTAATGGTGCAGTTCCTGCCTTCCCGCCGCCTAGTGTCACTGTAACTACTGCAGCTAACTCACCCGTGCTGCCGCCCCCGCTGCCTGTCCGAGAGACTAACCCCTGGGCCAAGACCCCAAACACAGCCCCCACCACAGCACACATAGGTAAGAGCTGGGCTTCCTGCCACAGGAAGTGCTGACCATGCAGAATAGTTGCTGAGAAACTCATTTTTGGTTGTAATGTAAGGCTATACCACTGTGAGCAGCTGTTGCATCAAACTGCTTTTCAGTGACTTTACAAGTGTAAGCATGCATCAGAATTGCTTTATTTTCGATGCTGACTGTAGTTGGCAACTAAGCAGACAGTCATGGTCATAGTCTATTTATGCTGTAGGGTCATTCCGTGTCAACTCAACCAGAGGTCCCCGGCTCAAATTTTAGATTTTGTCAATATTTTTTCTGAAGAAAGATAAACATGTATGGTGATGAAAGCCAAAATATTAAATGTTGTTGATGTGTATTTACGGAGTAATCCACATTTAATCCACATACCTACATTTGGTTATTTACCATTGAAAATGGGTAAAATTAAAAAAATTGGACATGGAGTCAACCATATAGGGCCATATAAATAAGATTTCAAAAAGATTTCAAAAGGAAAGATTATTTAGAACGAGAATCTAGAAGGATGTTAAAATATGATGAATACTTTGAGTTACAGGCATGTAAACTTTAGAAAAAGAATATTTATGACACTCAGATTTCTAGTTTCAACATTATATGTTCTTTAGATATTCATCTTTAAAAAAAAAATAAAAAAAGTATCAGCTGTATGCAAAATTACCCACATTTGGTTTTTGAAAATTGCATTAAGATCTTCATATCTTTGGGAATTAATCATTGAGGGCCTTTAAAATGAAGATACCGAAAGGAAAGTTTGTTAAGAACCTAAAATCTAATATCTAAAAGGATATTAAGATAGCTTTACACTGCAAAAAGCTTTTCTAGCTTAGATTTTTTTGTCTTGTTTCCAGCCAAAATATCTAAAAATTCTTAAATCAAGAAGGATTTTTCTAGACAAGTAAAAAATTATTGTCTTGTTTTCAGAAAAAACAAATCAAAATTAAGTGAGTTTTTGCTTGAAACAAGCAAGCAAAATAATCTTATTTCAAACAGAAAACAAAAACTCACTTAATTTTGACTTATTTTTTTCTGAAAACAAGACAATAATTTTTACTTGTCTAGAAAATCATTCTTGATTTAAGAATTTTTAGATATTTTGGCTGGAAACAAGACAAAAAATCATTTGCAGTATACTTCTTGAGTTACAGGCATGCAAACTTGGCATGCATTTTTTAACCGTCAATGTTGGCATATAATAAAACAAAAGATTTCTAAAATCAACAGATTTTACTAATAGACCTACCAATTAGGGCTGGGCGGTATATCGAGTTTGTACGATATATCGATATTTTTTTTTATAAGCAATACCGTTTATATCGATATACAGTAGTTTGATACGAGCGCATCTGAAAATATAGCGGAGGACACAGACTGAGCTGCTGCGGAGAAAGTGCATAATCCAATTTGTTCTAAACATGTGACAAGCTTCATATTAAGGCCTTTAAAAACTGGTAAGACATTATTTATTATAGTTTCGTTTGGCATATTAATTTAAGCGGCTCGGCGGCCCGTCATATGCTCTGACAGAAAGGCTGCGTGTGCCGCTGATAGAGACACTAGGCTTCTTGCGCTGTTTAATGTGTTTGAGATGTGATGTCTTCCTGAATGCATAACTTACATTTCACAGGTATATTCTCCATCTGTAAATGTTAGAAAGCCATGGAAATATTTCCATTTTTCTGTCAGAAGTGCATGAGCCTTCTGCTTTGGGATTCTCCGCTAAACGTCTCCGCTAGACTTCTGTGAACGAGTGCCGCCGCGCGCACGCGCGCCAAACAGACAGCTCAATTAAATAGGAGCGCAATAATTCTGACTAAAATATACATTTCGCTGAAATATTTGTAGTTGGACAATAAATGTGACATGTAGAATTTTAAACAGTTTGGACACCCCTGCTCTAAACCAAGAGGCCTCAACTCTGAACCTTGAGATCCTGTTTAGCTCCAACCCTAATCAAACACACCTGAACAAGCTAATCAAGGTCTTCAGGATTACTACAAAGTTGCAGGTAGGTGTGTTTAATCCAGGTTGGAGCTAAACTCTGCAGGAAGGTAGATCTCGAGGTCCAGAGTTGAGGATCCCTGCTCTAAACGGTTTACCAGAATAAATGGCATGCTTACCAAAACTCTTCTTCTTGTGTCCTGTAGGGAGCGAGTGGCCAAATCCTACACCCGCAGCGGGAGCCCTACCCACCGTCAATGCAAATCTTTCTACACTTACCTCCTCTCACAAACGTACGCCATCGGAAGCCGACCGCTGGCTGGAGGAGGTGACCAAGTCTGTGCGAGCCCACCAACCCGCAGCCGTCACGAGAACCAACACGCCTCCCACTCAGCAGCCCTTCCCCGTCCCAGCCCTCACCCCTATGGCACCTGGCCCTTCTGCACCCTTCATGCCAGGCATCCCTCCATCTGCGGTCCCTACCGTACCTCCACGCCAGCCGGCTTTCCACGCTCAGGCGCCGGCGTCCTTCCCAGTGTCCAATGGAATCCCATTTGTGCAACCAACCTTTCCGGTGGTTGGCATTACACCTTCGCAGATGGTGGCCAACGTGTTCGGTTCTGCCACGCAAACTCAGCCCATCCCGGTACCTGTTCAAGTGCCCCAGGCGCAGCTCCAGTCTTCACCCTTCTCCACACCACCAACAGGCCAGTTTGACACCCAGGCGGTGTGCAGCCCCTTCGGCAAACCACTCCTACCTCCGGTGACAAACGCCACAGTGCTGCAGCCACCGAAAGTCAATGCCACATTTAATGGGGCTAACAGCTGGGCAGCAGTGTCGTCACCTGCGCAGTCTGTGGCAGTGCAGCAACAGGCCGATGCCTTCGAGGCCCAGTGGGCCGCACTGGAGAGCCGCTCGCAGCAACGCACCGCTCCATCACCCACAAACCCCTTCTCCACCGAGCTCCATAAGACATTTGAGATCCAACTCTAAGGACACACAGTGCACACAAAGCGACGCTGAAGGACAATGCGATGGACATTCATGGAGAGACGACTATAGAGGGAACGACCCCGCAAACCACTTCAGCTCCATATCTCCGTCTTTCGATTTCTTTGTCTGTTCGTCCGTGTCTGGTTTTGGCTTGTGACATGAACAAATGGAGACAAGGGGGTTAATGAAGGTGCCCCCCAGAAACGAAGCGAGTACAACATTTGGCATTTATGGCGCATTTATGTCCAAGATGAATTAGAGTGACAAGATGATGGTAAAAGGAATCTTTAGATGCTCTAACGTTGACCCTGTATTGTTCAGTACTCCCTCGACCCCGACTAACCCATCTCACAGCGCCCCCTAGCAGGCTGGATGACTGCTCCCTACCTGAATGACGAGGCACTTCACAGACCTTCCGGGTTCACGAGGTTCTTGTAGAACTTCGCAATCAGAAGAGGAAGAAGCATGAGAATGCCAAAATCTTTATTTTTATGCATTAAGTATATTTTAAATAGCTTTGAAATTTAACTGAAGAGCTGTAAATAATCTTTCCAAAGGTGCAGGCTTATTTTGTGTGCATACAGGAACAGAGCATATATATATATAGGCGTGAAGGGATGGTTTTCATTTCTCGTCTCTATTCAGTTTTAGTCTTCTGGCCACCATGCATAGTTTGGATGTTCATCTTTTGTAAATAGATAATCCATATGGACCCAGACTGGGTTCGAGGATCTTTAAATCACACAGATCCCAGACAATGTTATCTATCTTTCGTGCTGTCATTTTAACCTTATTTTTTTGTACTATAATATGAGTACTTTGATTTCTATTGCCTACATATCGTTATCATTTTTTAGCACATTTTTTATGAATTTTAACACTATTGACAGTGTCATCTGTCAAGCCACTTTTATTTTATTTCGATAAGAAGATTCTCATTTTAGCACAAGCACTGTACTAATCGATCATTTGGCCACTTACGGTTGATGTGACATCAGTCTGTGGCGTTAGTGAGCTATGATGTTCACTGTCTTGAAATGACCTGTGTTTCCAACTCTACAATGATTGCAGTGAATTTTTCCCCCTGATTTTCATGCAATCCCATCAACCCTTTTGTTTTATCAGACGTAAAGATGATCGGTCCTGTTTTTAGGTTTTGATTCCATTTTGTAAGTATTGCATTGTATTATTCCAATTCTTTACGGAAAATTGAATCTAAAAGATTGAATAAAACGTTGGTGGTAGAGGAAAGCGGTTCTGTGTGCTTCTGTTCCACATACAGGATTCATGATTTTCTGTGTGTTCTTGTATCTAACGTCTGTGATTGTTTTGCAACTGAGGATTCTAAATAAACTTCATCGTAAGATGTTTGGCCCATGAACTCCAAGCTCTTGCGTGCTCAAGGATCTCACAGTGAGCTCAAAGGAGGCAAAAGAGATGCTGCAGCCTTCTGAAACATCTTGAAAAATGTTTGGTTTATGAATTATTCTATTGTATGATTTAATAAGGCGGAGCGATTCGACCAATCAGATGAAAGGAGCGTTTCAGCGCCACCCACACGTGCGAATGAAATATTGATTCAATAATTGAAGCCATAAACCGAATTTTAAACCCCAAACGAAAAATGTTAAACTAAACGGAAAAACGAATAAACGAGCCGTTTTTCCATTTCTCGTTATTGCATTCCAAATAGGAGATGAAATTATCAAAACGTACACGGACCGTGTACCTTCGGATAATTCCTTTATTCGTTTTTGTTTTCAAAACGGAAAAACGAATAAACCGTTCGTTTTGTACGTATCTTACAATATTCATGCACATAAAATACAAATCTGAGACATATTTTTGGTTTGTTTTCCCTCAATATTTCTTTAAATGCATCAAATAAATATACAATAAAACCAAAACGAAAAATAAAGTATTTTTATGAACAAAGTGCGTTTTAGTCCACCGGAAGTTCAGCTGCAGCCTCTGGCGACCAGTGGTGGTATATAGCACATTAAGGGTATCTTAAGCACATTAAGACCGCTATCTTTAATGACACATCAGTTTTCAGAGGTTTGCCAACCATATGTAAATATGTAGGTAGTACTTTCTGTGCAATGCAGCAGTATGTACAGTAACTGAAAGAATGGACCTATGTACGCTCGTGTCAGCGGGAGAGGTTTAACCATAGCCTCCGGTTAAACTCAGTGAGAGAAGCTCGTTTTGCACTTTAATGTGAAACAATTTTGCCATTTTGTTTGCACTGTTCGAAAAAATGTTAAACATAGAAGACAATACGCTTGTACATACAACTACATACATGATAGTAGGCGTGTTTATAAAAATTAGCAGAGTTAATAAAAACCTGTACTTTTCATTGCACATTACATTCTATTACATAGCAATAGAACTCTGCCCAAAACACAATAGAAAATTTAATGGTTTCTAATTTCCATACCATTATAAACCATTAGTTTTTTTTTTGCATTAAAACCATGGTTGGTAACCAGTTAATATTTTTTTTAATTGAATATTCTTTGGGCGGACATGCAGTACATGCAGCAATTTAACTTGTCCTTTTTTTGCCCATAGCTATTTTAGAAACTTTTAAATAACATATGATTGAATGACACAGACTCAGAGTTGTAATACTTTTCATTTACTATATAGATAAAAGCAACATATTAACAGCAACATATCAAACCGCGTTCAAAACGGTATACAAACAGAAACATTCAAATGAACAACAAAGTATTTTCCAGACGTTTAAAGGGGTCATATGATGCGATTTCAATTTTTCCTTTCTCTTTGGAGTGTTACAAGCTCTTGGTGCATAAAGAAGATCTGTAAAGTTGCAAAGACTAAAGTCTCAAACCCAAAGAGATATTCTTTATAAAAGTTAAGAGTTTGCACCCTCAGATTCCAGATTTTCAAATCCTATCCTAACAAACCATCAATGGAAATACATCCATACAGTACATCTTATTTATCCAGCTTTCAGATGATGTATAAATCTCAATTTCAAAAAAATTGACCGTTATGACTGGTTTTGTGGTGCAGGGTCACAAATACTTTAAAGGCAGGGTATGTGATTTTTCAAAAACACTTCAGAAAACTGATTCGGGCCGAATAGCAAAACAAACTTGTAGCATTCTTCAACAGATATTTAAATAACAAAACATTCACACCAAATGCTCTTTTCTGAAACCTTTTTTTTTTTAGGTAAGTTTAACACCTAATGTGTAAAACATCTAGAAGCGTTACAGTAATGAGAACTGTGCTTGATTTTCCGAAAATAATTTCGGAATGCAAAATAATGTTTATAAAACTTTTTTGACAGTCGGCGTAGTGTCGCGCCTCCGACAGAGGTGTCGCTGTGGCGCGAATGTTTCCTGCGAGCGCTGATGACATAAAGCCGCAGAAGAAGAAGCGCTGCAGCTGTTCATTATAAGCGTGTGTGAGAGTGTCTACAGTAGTATTCACTCGTAACTCTGACATCTTTTGAGTTTTCAGGTGCGTATATCTACAGCAACACTCACACGAGAATGACATGTTAGATAGGGATTCATTTAGATGTGCGGGTCCTAGCAGTCCGTCAGAACGAAGTACTGCATCTCTGACATAAACACAAACACATTGCGATTAAAGTGATTGATTGGTATAATTAGATGATTTATTTCTGAAGTCACCACGAACTCTTCATCAAAATGATGTTGTTTCAGTTTTGTTTGAATTGTATCCGTTTTTAAATAGTGGTCGTACACGTTTTCACGAAAGCACAGTAGATTTCTGAAGAGTATGTCAGCACAAAATATTTTGAGAAATATATTACGGCAGGTCTGTAGTCATAGTTATGTTTGAATAAGCTTACAGTTGGTTTTACTCGAAACGACAGAAGCGTTGTCAATTTATGTTCATCGCCTCAGTAGTAGCTTTGGTTTCTGCCACAATGTCACAGTCATTGCAATAAAACTGCTGTAACTTGCTGTTAACCAAGTGCTGTTAACAGAAACCGGAAGTAAAATTACCGATTCTGAATTTATAGATTGTGAATTTCAGTATGGTAGACTGATATGTTGTTTAAATGAATTCATTGGCTCATGTTCAGACACTTTTTCGCACCATTTTCAGCATCAAATGATATAAACGAGGCTCGAAGAAAAAATGCCACAAATTCAAGATTTTTTTGTTTGTTTATGATTTAGACACGCGCAAGAGTGATGTTTTTCTGAATATCGGCACAATTGTGAATGTTTATTGATTTAAAAAACGAGTGTCACAAGAAGTTAATATTGAGTGAGTTAAATTTTAGATACAGCATTGTCTGCTTTTTCGCAAGTGATAGTAGTTCTAAACAATTCCACAACAGAACTGTGTCACATCTCCAAGCAACAAGCAGGAGCTTTTCATTACTGATTGAATCCAGTTGATACCGATTTCATTTTTTATTTTCACTTCATTTTAACACCTCTGTATTGTCTTAATAATCTAATTGAATTTGATTAAATGTAAGAATTTGTCATAAAAGATGGTGCATGCATTTAATAAGATTAGACAATTACTCCTATAACGGTTAAATGACCCCCAGACATCAATGTAAGGGGACAGTTATCACCAGCACATACCACTTTAGTCTTCACTGTCACATGATCCTTCAGAAATCATTCTAATATGCTGCTTTGCTGCTCCAGAAACATTCCTGATTATTATTTGCTTGATGTTTTTGTAGAAACTGTGATGCACAGTAAAGTGACAGTAAAGATGTTTATGATGTTTTGAAAGATTTCTATTTCCAACAAATGCTGTTCTTTTAAACTTTCTATTAGTGAAGGAATCCTGAAAAATGAAGTGCATCACAGTTTCTGCAAATATATGAAGCAGCACAACTGTTTTCAACATTGATAATAATCAGAAATGTTTCTTGAGCAGCAAGTCGGCATATGAGAATGATTTCTGAAGATCATGTGACTGAGTAATGATGCTGAAAATTACAGGAATAAATTACATTTAAAAAATATATAGTAAACAGTTATTTAAAATGGCAATAATAGTTCACAAGTTACTGTATTTTCATCAAATAAACCCAACCTCGATGAGCAAAACATTTAATAATGCGTATTAATTTTCAGTTTCAGAAGGAGTCGGTGCAGCTGCAGTGATGTCCAAGCCGAGCACGTTCACCGCGGCTCTGGCCACTATGTTAGGAGCCACTCTCGGCGGCCTGTTCCTGTGGCGCAGCATCCGCACACAGAAGAGAAAGGCCCTCAAGGGCCCCGCTTCAGCTGAGCCCATACAAGCCCAGCTAGAAGCGGACGTCAATCTCTTACAGCCAGCAAGACGAGAGCCGCAAACCCAGAAGCTTCTGCGTGCGCATTCGCTGTTAGAGGTGCCTCCCGTGATCGTCAGCTCGCCAGAAGCAGCTAGAAGCGGACGTCAATCTCTTACAGCCAGCAAGACGAGAGCCGCAAACCCAGAAGCTTCTGCGTGCGAATTCGCTGTTAGAGGTGCCTCCCGTGATCGTCAGCTCGCCAGAAGAGTGGGAGACGCTCTGGCCTGATTTCCAGAAGGACCTGTCTGTCTATCCGGTTCTAGGATTGGACTGTGAATGGGTAAAAAGCATGCGTGTAAGCATGGCTCTGTATGTGGCTCAGTTTAAACATTGCATTCGTAGCGGCAGCACTAGACGATGTTGTCTGCTTTCACAGGTGTCTGTCAAAGGCAAGGCCTCGGCGGTCTCCTTACTCCAGCTGGCGACGTTCTCCGGCCGCTGTGTGCTGGTCAGACTGCTGATGTTTCGTAATGCACAGCTTCCTCTCCCTGAGGGTCTCGTTGGGGTCCTCTCTGACCCCCGTGTGCTGAAGGTCGGGGTGGGATGTTATGAGGATGGGAAACGGCTGACTCATGATCATGGTCTGACTCTGAGTTGCACCGTGGACCTGCGCTACCTGGCCCTCAGACAGAGGTAATGCCCCAGTTTGATCCAAGACTTCATAGTCAAGTTTTAAGTGATACTATCTATTAGAGCCCAGTAGAGCTGCTCTATTATTCGTTAAAAGATCGCGATCTCGATTCATACACCCACACATGATCTAATTTCTAAATGACAACGGTTCGGCCGTGTCTATTAAAGGGGTCATATGATGCGATTTCAATTGAGATTTGACGATACGAGTATCGATACTCTGTCCCTGTATCGATATTGTGGCACGTGTGCAGCAGTGGACCGCGCTTAATTTGAATACAAGAACAACGTTTAGAATTGAGCAGAAAACTGCGAGGTTTCTAAAAAATAATGAATAGAGCATAATATATAGGCTATAATAAGGTTTAATCTGGCCGCAGAGTAACACAACTGGATGTGTGAATTTGTGCAATGATAATCTACCAGCAATGTAAATATGATTTTTAAAAATATATTAGAATGAGTACATTACAATATAAATTTATTAGAAAAATCTACGTGTTTCAGAAAGGCGGGGCATAGAGGAGAAACAATAATGTACAGTATGTGGAAAATAATGTGTTTTTTGAACCTGAAAGCGCATAAACACGTTTCATTACACCAAATACACAAAATAATGTTCTTTTTAGAAACATCATATGACCCCCTTAAACCTTTGCAAAAGTCATAAACGAACATTCAAATCAACTACACAGTATTATTTCTGTCTTACAGTCACAGAAATACTGGGATGAAAGTTCAGATATAAAGATTGTCTATGGTAGCGATCAAAATAGATCAAGTCATCTTTTGAAAACAGGCGCTTCGGATAACGTTTGTGCCGATTGCATTGTTTCGCCACTGGGTGGCGACAAGTGACGTTTAAAAAATGTATTTGTCATTGAATCATTCATTCAAGAGATTTGTTCAAAAACACTGATTCATCCAGTAATGAAACAAGTGAAGTATTTGAGTGAGTCATTGAATCATTCGTTCAAACCACTTTTTCATAATTTTAATATTAAAAATTTTATTAAATATAGGCTATTATATTTTAAATACGTATTATATATTAAAATGTTTAATTCATTAAAATTAAGCACTTTTAAATAGACTGCAGCAATGAATATTTTGTCACACATTATTTTGTTTTGTTCAGAATCATGGAAGAATCAGGATCTCTATTTGAGACAAAAAAAATGGTGATTCTTAATTTATCAAGAATTGTGCAGCTCTAAAACCCAGCATTGCTTAGTGCAATTCAGAAATCACAAAGACTATTATTTTAATGTTGTATGTTTAAGTGATGCACAGCACTTGCATTTACATGCAAGCATCTCATGGTGATTTCCAAAATTATTATTATTATTATTAAATACTTTTTTATTTGCAGTGAAATATATTTTTATATTATTTAGTTTATAATATTTAGTTTATTATTATAATTATGATAAACGTTAAAAAAATGCATTTTAAGTCGCAATCACAATTTTTTTTATCAGAAAAATTGCAGTTAGATTTTTTTTTCCCACTAAATCATACAACCCTAGTATCAATAAATGATCAAATCAAGGCACATTTACATACAATATAGATTGTTTCAGAACAGCTCACGTTAAAGGAAAATGTTAATTCTGTAAAATTCAGGAATTATGAAACTAATTAAATTTCGTCTGAAAAGCAGCTCTACAGAAGAATAGTGTCATTACTCTGCTCAATTTAGTTCAGTGTTGATTGAATTCAGTTCAATAACACTGTCATTGGTGTCATTATCAGCTCAATCAGTTCTGAATTTGTTCAAGTGAATAAGGTGGATAGTTATAGTTGCTACCAGGTGTCTCTAAATGTCATAAACAAACCTCAGTAAGACTTTAAAGCAGTTGTGGTGTGACCTGAGGTGATCTGGATTGTGTTGAAGGCAAGCGGTGCTGAATAACGGCTTGAGTCTGAAGTCTCTGGCTGCAGATCTGCTAAACGTCACGCTGGACAAATCTCTGGAGCTGCGCTGCAGTGACTGGGAGGCGGATGTGTTGACCCAAGAACAGGTGAGGAGGAGATCCTCTGATGGAGCTTCAGATTTATAGCAGTATCTTTCCATTTGACAGTATTCAGAAAGGGTCACAGCTTGCCTCATTTCAGGCCATTTTTGACCGGGAACACCAAGAGTTTAACTTGTTGTTGTTGTTTAACGTTATAGCTTACTGAAGTAGTAAATAACACAGTTATGCAATTGATTTAGGATTTTAGGTTATTTATACACTGTATGACCAATACAGTATTGCCCAGTATTGGCCTTTCCCATTTACAAGGTGTGACTTTTTGACCACTTAGATTTATCAAATGAATTTTTTCGTTCAGATTGCATATCTAAAAAAAGTTAAAAGTGAGTTTTGAACCACTCAAATTGAGGAAACCATTTTTATTATTACTAAACAAAAATTAAATTGTTAAAAATTACTAATAAGCTAATAAGCGTAAATTTTTCAAAATGTTTTCCAACCAAACAGTTGTTCCTGTCACGTAGTTTTAAAAAGTAAAATACATAATGAATCTAGTTAAAAATAAGGCATGCCGTTAAATCTTGGTGCTTTTAATATTTGCGCAACAAAATCATTGTGATATTCACTGTTGATTTGAATTTTATATTGTCAGCAATGCCTTACAAATATTCTGTAATACCCAGCTGGAATAGACTCTGTGTAGTGAAACTGTGTCAGTACACTAAACTCTCTGTCATACTGTATCCACCAGATGGTCTATGCAGCACATGATGCCCAGATTTCTGTTGCCCTGTTTTTTCACCTGCTGGGGATGAACACAGAGCCCCGGCTCCCCGCTGAGGGTGAAAGCGTGTTCGTCCAGCTGGCATCATGCTGCCAGGGGCTGGTGGACGTGCCCTTCAGGGCGCGCTATAACGGAGAGGGGGAAGAAGGGGAGAGAAGGAGGCGAAGCCGAAAGTTCACCGTGGAGAGTCCCGAGTCTGGAGACCAGCAAGTTCCAGACCCGCGGCAGAACAAACGCAAACCACTGGGTGTTGGTTACTCGGCCAGGTAAAGAAGAAGGTGTTTGACTTTTCCTGTAATGAGCTGTTGTATTAGTCACGATGAAAATATATCTGATTAAAGATAATAAAATACATGACTAATCTTTCGAGAAATCTCTTGCACAAAGTATTAAAATTTGACATGCTTTGGATATTCGGATCAAATTTGACATGCTTTGGATATTTGGATCTGAACTCCTTTGTGTGACTGTTGTGCTGTTTGTCTTGATTCAGGAAATCACCACTTTATGATAACTGTTTCCTTCATGCTCCCGATGGCCAGCCGCTCTGCACATGTGACAAGAAGAAAGCCAAATGGTACCTGGAAAAGGGTATAGGAGGTACACAACGACTTCATATTGCTGACCAAATGAGGAAATTTTCAACAATCATTTGAAATGCATTTTTCCCCTTGTTGTGCAGTGAATGTTACAAAGCTGGTTACTTTAAGTTCATGAGGCAGTCTAACTTGGATCACGTGTGCCTTAATAACCAATCACGTTACAGCCTTGACGTCATTGAGTTGTCACTCAATCGCTGTTTACGGATACCATAGGAATTAATGGGAAATGCCGTAAGCTGAATCCCACCTGTCGCAAAAAGTCAGTGACTTCTCTAATAAAACGGGATTTGTTTCGTGGTAAACTCTAAAAATAGTTCAATCCAAAAGTATTGTTTAGTGTAAAACATGTTGAAGATTAGCAGATAGGCTGTCGATTCATTAAATGAAGAGCTGTTTCCTCTAAAAAGCTGTTTATTCAGCGTAGTGAAGCCTCTCCTCCATTGACATCCATTCAATAAAAAACGGCCTCTGGTCTCCTTTCCCACGTACTGCCAGACCGGAAACGTTAGCTTTAGCCATTACGCTTTTTTGGCTAATGGTTGCAGGCTTGCCTTCTAGTGGCTTTGGTAGCTGCGCACTGCATCATCTTCTTGTTGGACAGGTATCAGCGGTAAGGCGCAATACTGACACCTGGGAGGTCAACCAGGTACTGGCGCTTGTCGTGTTATCATAAGAGTCCTGTTCATTTTAAATATTGTGGCTATCGCCAATACCGTTATATTGTCACACACCAAATGAACACGATGGCGATATTTCGTGCTTTGAATATCACGATTATCGTCAATAATGGAACACTGTGACACCCCTACTTTGAATAATATCAAATATAACAATTGCAAGTAAAATATGATCTGTACATAATCTCAGAATTGGTCAGCGACGATCCCTTCGTTGTCCGGCTGCTGTTTGAGCCGTCAGGCCGTCCAGACTCCCAGAAAGACTACTACCTCACAGCCAAAGAGAACGTGTGCGTGGTGTGCGGGAAAGCCGACTCTTACATCAGGTGTGTCTCGTGCTTCCTGCCATTTATTTGAGTTTGTTTGCAAAGTGGGACTCGCCAAACTAAGTCATCTCCACTACTGTCCTTCCACGTTAACCTAGGAAGAACATTGTCCCACACGAGTACAGGCGCCACTTCCCGGCTGAGATGAAGGACCACAACTCGCACGACATCCTGCTGCTGTGCACTTCCTGTCACGCGGCCTCAAACGTGCACGACGGGGTCCTGAAGCAGCGGCTGGCCGAGGAGCACTCCGCTCCGCAGGGCTGCGAGGAGGGCATTCGGCTGCTCGAGGACGCAGACCGCCGGCGTGTGCGATCGGCCGCAAGGGCTCTCCTCAGCGCCAGCGCCGGGATGCCTCAGTCCAGGAAGGAGGAGCTCCTGTCAGTCATCCAGAGCTTCTTCTTCAGCAACGGACAGCAGGAGGTCACGCAAGAGATGCTTCAGAGAGCTGCCGCGCTGGAGACCAGGTAGCTTATTTTGACCAAAACCCCCCATGTAGACAGGAAGGGGCTGACAGAGATGTGAACCAAAGGAGTGACAACCGCATTTAAATGTGGGAGTGAGTCCCATAAATTATCGTTCCATGCGTGTACGGAACAGCAGTCACTCCTGCATTTGTAACCATAGCAACATTTTGTCGTCTTGCGGGAGTGAATAAAAATTTAGCCATTTGTCATGTGCCATTTTTTGGCTAAAGACTCTTTTTGTCCGTCGAATTAAACTAAACTACCACTGATAGACGTGCTACGTTTGGTTCGGGAGGCTGCTTTTGAAAGCGCTGTCTTGCAGTGTTGCCATGTCCTCATATTTACAAGCGCTTTTAGGCATGTTGTTTGGCCTTATCTCATAAAGATAGGCACTTTATGGAGTTAATAAAGTGGTCTGTCGCAGATATGAGATTTTTTTTTTTTGGTGTTATTTTTACAAAGCATTTGGGTGTTTTAATGTTTTTTGTTTTTTATGAAGATCTGGCAACACTGACACTTTACCGCAGGGCTCATGATGTGCTATGTTAAGACTTCTTTCATTGTTATTTTCTTGCATCTCACATACAGATGAAGACACATTTCTGATGCACGTTCAAATACGTCATTAACAACTAGTTGTTCAGTTCCGTACACGCTGCGTAGAACTTCTGTAAATGCGGTTGTCACTACCTGTATTTTTCGGGAGTTAATGCGGTTGTCGAATGCGGTTGTCACTCCCGTATTTTAGTGAATTATGTGTGTACAGAACGCGATTAAGGAGTAAAAGGTGAACTGACAACCGAATTTAACTGCAGTGTGTACGTGGCCTATAACTATTATTATTATATTACATAAAGTATAGGTCTAGTTGCAAGTACGGTGCACTATTTACCCAATAACTGATTGGTGATGTCAACTAGTGTATTTAATATTTATGGTTGTTGCATTTAGGGCTGTGCGATATTTTCGAAACAGTCTCTATGTTCTGGGGTTTTGACGATAACAATAATTAGACAATATTTTGCCGAGTGTGTTTTTGTGCTGCTATTTGTGGTTTAGGCCTTTCTGACTGTCCGCTTTTCATATTCTTATTCTTAATGGCCAATATTTTCCACCTTAAATTGATTTCCAGAGGATTTTTACCTTTTATAAAGGGCGGGTATTTTTTTTTCTAAATTTATCTAATATTAGTGATGTAACGATGAACCGCGAGCCGGTTGAAAATCGATTCAAATATGTGATGATTCAAATCGCTTGAGATGCCAAACAAATCGCGATACAATTGGAGTAGGAGTAGTGTTGTTTTTGGCGACCTGTTTTAATTTTAGTTTTAGTCTAGTCTTTGTGTGAAACTGTCATTTTAGTTTTTATTAGTTTTAGTCGGAGTTTATATGAATGTATAATGATATAGTGTTTCCTGGGTTCATGCTGTAAACGAAAGCAGAGCTGCGCTTATGAACTCTACTTTACTCTACGAACTCTATGTTCGGAGGCAAGATAAAAGAAAAATACCACGTAAACTTTTCTAAAGACAGTCAGTTCTTACGTGGTATTTTCATTTCATCTTGTTACATCCCTATCTAATATGGAATCTAATATCATCTTTTAAGTCAAATTCTCATGTTTAATTATTAAATTTAATTAGAATAATGAGACACTGTAGGCTATTTCCAATCAAATGAAATCAGAATGAACAAAATCCTTTGTTGCACTGCAAAAGTGTCACAGAAGCAGCATCGAAAACTGCATTTAGATGTATTTGCATTACAACTGCAAATAATGATGAGATTAATAAAAAAAATGTTTTAAATATTTGACATATATTGAAATATAAAAATTGCTTTTGAAATGAAAACTACCAGTAGGTGGCAGCAAATTACTGTCTTAATTAGGGCTGTCGCGATTCGTCGATTTTATTAGACTATTCGATTCTTAAAAATCCTCGACTTCATTTTGCTCGCGTTGACTAACTGGCAAAATACCGGAAGTGGCGCATTTCACGGACAAGAATTCATTAAACACATTATTAGACTGTTTCCCAAGGCTGCATGATATATTAAACCCATTTAAAAATCATAATTAAGCATAATTGTGAATTCACAAACGCTACGATTTAATTAATTAATTATATGCTATGCAGTTCTATTACAGTGTATATGCGCTTTAATTATTTACATGCATGTAGGTTAAGTACATGCGTTACACAGCGGCTCCGTTCACAGTAAATGCTGTTCCACAGGAACTGTTATCATTTACATGTGTGGAGCATCTCAAACTCCATCTCTGCATGTTGTTGTGAGTTTGGGTTTATTATAACGTTCATCTGGGAACGCAACGTGCGCCATTTCATCAGATTTGTAAGGTAAATCATTTATAAATC